CTAAGCACACTGGAGAACAGTCTCACATTATGAAATGAATTGGCATAATCTCAAATTTGGGAACATTGGGAGGAGAAGGCAGTTTGATAAGTGTATGGCAAAGAAAATAATAGTGTATAATAAAAGAAAACCACATGAAAGGAACCATGGATAAAAAGATAATCGAGGATAAAATTGAAATGTAACTCACACAGTTGGGAGAATGGAAAATCACTTGTAGTATGAAGAACCTTTTGAATTTATTAGAAGAGAGTTTTCAGTATAAATTTGTAAAAGAAATATTTTGTACTTCTGGATTACAATGGGTCTGCCTAACCAGCCCTCCATGTAGTCCTGCCCCATATCCTACTAATTTAACTATAAAGTGAACACACACACACACACACACACACACACACACACACACGACAAAGCATAGAGTATCATTAAAAAGTGAGAGAGAACTTTTATCAATCAGGATCCAGTTAGAAACACTGCAATATTAATATTCTTTTTTAAAGTGGCAAAGGCACATTTTAGAACATATTAATTAAAAAAAATAATACAGGCCCTGACTGGTTTGGCTCAGTGGATAGAGCGTCGGCCTGCGAACTGAAAGGTCCCAACTTCGATTCCGGTCGAGGAAGCCAGCATTACCCTAATTCCTAAACCAGATAAAGACACTACAAAGAAAGAATTACAGGCCAATATCCCTGATGAACATAGATGCTAAAATCCTCAACAAAATTCTAGCAAATCGGATCAAGCATTACTTAGAAAGATCATACATCATGACCAAGTGGGATTTATTCCTGGGATGCAAGGCTGGTACAATATCCGCAAATCAGTAAACATGATACAACACATAAACAAATTGAGAGACAAAAATCACATAATCATATTAATTAATGCAGAAAAAACATTTGACAAAATCCAATACTCTTTCTTGATAAAACACTCAGCAAAATGTGAATAGAGGGAACATACCTCAACATAATAAAAGCCTTATATGACAAACCTACAGCCCACATCATACTCAATTGGCAAGAACTAAAACCATTTGCCCTAAGAACAGGAAAAAGGAAGGGATACCCACTTTCACCACTCCTGTTCAACATATTACTGGAAGTGCTAGCCATAGCAATCAGACAAGAAGAAGAAATAAAAGGCATCAAAATTGGAAAAGAAGAAGTAAAATTGTCATTATTCGCAGATGACATGATATTGTACATAGAAAACCCTAAAGACTTCATCAAAAAATAATAGACTTAATAAGTGAATTCAGCAATGTAGCAGGATACAAAATTAACACCCAGAAATCTACGGCTTTTTTTATACACCAATAATGAACTCACACAAAGAGAAATAAACAAAACAAACAAACAAAAAAAAACCATTTACCAATGCACCGGAAAAATTGAGATACCTAGGGATAAATGTAACTAAGGAGGTAAAATGTGTGTACTAGGAAAACTACAGGACATTAAAAAAAAGAGAGATAGAGAAAAACATAAACAAATGGAAGGATACACTGTGTTCATGGATTGGTAGAATCAACATTATTAAAATGTCCATACTACCCAAAGCAATTTATAGATTTAATAAAATCCCATTAAAATTCCAACAGCATATTTCAAAGACCTAGAACAACTCTCCAAAAATTCATGTGGAATAAAAAAGACCCCGAATAGCACTGTAATCCTGAAAGAAGAACAAAGTTGGAGGGATCACAATACCAGATATCAAGCTATATTACAAAGTCACAGTTCTCAAAACTGCCTGGTATTAGCATAAGAACAGACATATAAACCAATGGAATAGAACAGAGAACCCAAAAAATCAACCCAAGCCATTATGCTCAATTAATATTTGACAAAGGAGACAAAAGCATACAATGGTATCAAGACAGTCTCTTCAATAAATGATGTTTGGGAAATTGGACAGATACATGCAAAAAAATGAAACTAGACTACCGACTTACACCATACACAAAAATAAACTCAAAATGGATAAAGGACTTAAACATAAGACAGGAAACCATAAAAAATCTTAGAAGAAGCCATAGGCAGCAAA